AACTGTTAGTTTCGTCCGATCATTCAGAATGACGTCTTCATTTAGACAACGTCTTGCTATTCCTAGCGCCTCTTCTTTGGGTACATTTGTGAAAAGTGAGGTGACATCGAAGCTGACCATCAAATCATCTGACTCAATTTTTAGACTTGCTATCTTTTGAGCGAAGTCATAAGAGTTTTTCACGAATGCACTCGTTCGCCCTGTTAGAGGCTGCAATAGTCTTGCAAAGTATCTAGCAAGTTCATGGGTCGGGGAGCCAATACCGTCGACTATGCGCCGTACGGGGACTTCGGGTTTGTGAACTTTTGGCAAGCAATAAACCCTCGGAGGTAAAGTCGATTTTGGATAGAGACTGTACCACTTGCCTGCCCCCAAATCGTCCTTCACGGTTCTTAAATAGTTACCAACCTCCGTTTTACTCTTGTTCATTACCGACGCCACTGTCTTATCAACAACTACTCTATATGGACCCGTCTCCAAGTGTTGTCCCATTTTTTCCAAGTATTCTGACTTATTCATTACAACCAGTGTTTTTCCCTTGTCAGCCTTTGTAAGTACAATGCTGCGATCTTCCTTCAAGGAATTTAATGCGATACGTTCAGTCTGCGGAAGATTTGGCTCACCCGGTTTCTGAAACTTAATGATATTTACTAACTGTGCTCCAAACCTCGCTGAACTCATGACTAATCGATCGGTTCCAGGTATCTTTCAAGAATTTGAAATTGGGTACCCGTTTTCTTCTATGGTGTTAGTGAGGAATCGCACCTCTTCATCTAGCGTGTCTGGCGTGCAGATTATCCAAAAAATATTCTTGCTCTGTCAAACAGGTTCTGCACCAATCCCTGTTTGTAGAGTTTGGTCACTAAACTAAAAAGTCAGTTACTGTGAAATAGTAATCTTACAAAAGACACCATCACTAGATAGAGAAGCCAAATTGACCGTGCATGTGGGTCATTCCTGCAACAACCTATGATAACCGAGGTCAAAAACGCGACGGTGACAAGGTATTTGAAGTTCACTCACGCGCTACCTAAGCCAAAAAGACAGCTTAGTGTTTGGTTTCCCCAATGGCCATAACTGCAAATGATCTCAATTGGCGGTAAATCTGGAGAAGCCGCGTGGTCAGGACTGGATTGGCCTACTTAAATTGTGATTTTACATTCTACGCTGTGTGGTGGCGTAAGTCAAGTAGAACTAGAGAAGCACAACAATCCGATCAGATTCCGCTCTGCCAACCGGTCGTTGATGATAATATGTTCACCAACGAAAATCAGATGGTCGACGGAATAGTTACAAGTACACCGTTGAGAGTAGTGCCCACGTTAATTTACTGCTTATTATATTCGCTGTCTACTGGCTCTAGGAGACAGTTGGTCGTTACTGGAGGGGACGGGGTGCACGGTCCTTGTGGCCGTGTTAGGCTCGAAGAGTTGTTCCATGCACTCAGTGTGGAGCGGACTACGGTCCAGCCATCACCTTGTGTGCACTTGATTCCCCAAATACAGCGTGCTTGTGTTTGCCTGTGAAGGAGTGTGGGCCGGCTCCGTTGATGAAACGTGGTTCCCATCCACATGCCTTCCAGTCTTATTCCTTCGGGTTTACAGTGGATATGGGGTGTGTGGATGGAGCTGTGGGTGGTGAATCGGAAGCCACCCATGGTCCCTCTGTAGGCGCAGGTGTCCTGTGGCTGGCCACAGTGACAGGTAAATCCGAAATCGGATGCCGCCAACCATATTCGCTAGTTGGAATATCCATTATATTTGGACGATAAAGTATATAATGTCACACACTACAACATGTAAACGCAATTGTTTAACATGCATCTTGGAGCTGCTTAACTAAATACCCCCAGATGTCGCCTGAGAAACATTCACAGATACGTTTAGAACACTGTGGGCGGGGCGAAATTGAAGACAATCAGGGTTTAGCAAGCAGATGCAGGCCGAGCTTCACTAGATGGCGCATTGATTAGTTCTGGCTATCCAGCGCTATACTCCATTGTCCAAATATTTTCTTGTCTGGTCATTTGTTCACATTGTAGTGCAATGGTTCAGTGTGCAAACGTAGATGCCTACGCAAGCTTCTTGTCGGTTAAAAGCAATATAAGCTTAATTTCACAACATCCATGTTCTCCCATCAATTTGACTACACTAGTTTTACTCCAGCTTCGTCGTTTCGATCCAAAGTAAACGAAGATAGAGGCGATATGCACATTTAGCCTGCTAACCATGAAATATCGTGAATAATAAATCTCAGTCTCTCAAAATGAGGCAAGTTCTTCAGCGCAACCGAGATCCAAACACAGCTCGCAAAACTATTGCCATTGTCGTTCCATGACAGATGCGTGTGTAACTGTTACGGAAGGACCCATATCCTTCAACTGTCTTGGACCAACCGGAGGGACACAGATCGCGTTATGTTTCGTTAAGGACCCTTAGACTGCACAAACATTTCACCGTCAACCAACTTGACGCCCCATATATGTGTGAGCCAGAAAGGTCCTGTCGGCTACCTAATTGGTGCACAGAGATAGCGAACCAATTCTCAGATATGTGATACACATGTTCTCCAACCAAAATTGCTCTCAACCTGATACGAACATGTGGCGAGTATATAAAGTAGGTGCGCAGTGTAACAATGAAATACCGCCTAATCGCTGTGATGTTTACGTCGAAATGCGTACTACTGCTTGGTAAGATTCGTGATGAAGGCTGAGCCTCCATCTTTTCCTTCGACGCTGCTTATTCAGTGAAAATATGCAACTACGGAACTGTGTAACCTACGCATATCGGCTAATTCCATTCGATAAGCATCAGGCAGCTAGTATTACTCAATATTTTTTCATTTTTTATTACCCTGTGCAAATCCAGAACTACGTAACTTCTGAAATCGCTAGTAGACAGATGTAGGTATGTGTCGTCGAATCACATTCATGTCAGATGCAGTCAAAACACAAAACAATTGATTCATCCGATTAGATCATGCGCACCTCACAACTTGCCAGGTATGCCGTTAATGTGACGGACAAATTGATGCCCCGCCTAGACTTAACTGTCCCTTCACACATTAGTTATTTCATTATTAAAAAATAAAGTACAGTTAGGATCAGCTACCCAATTAATTGAGGATTTGTATCTGACATCCCGAGTATACGACGCGTAGATGTGTAACATGAAGACTGTTTAAAAGCTGAGCGCCGAAACAGTTGCTAGGTTGGTCAAAATTCATGCGAACTCAAGTGCATAATATTCCAAGTGCACTGATTTAGCGGAAGCCATACAGTGGTTCGGTAAGTTACTTAGGCATTCGCGCTGTATGCACTTCAGGCAAACCTAGTATGCGAAACTATAGCACAATGTACTCCTCATGAACGCTACCTCTTCTGTTCAATAGCAATTGCGTTTGCGCCATGCCAACTAAGGATTCTACATGGTAAGTTCAAATTAGTGATGTGTCTTCAATTGACCTCTACAAACTGGTGGGTTAGTTGTGCTTAATTTATTTTTGCTTCAAAATATCAAGGGAAAAGTAATATGCATTTTAAGGAAAAAGCAGGCAACCAATGGAAACATTTCTAGCCAACATAACCAAATCTTTATTGCACAATAATCTTGCGAAATACTCTACCTTTCAAAGTTTACTTCATTTTCGCTTGTCTTTACAGTCATAATGATAACGGGAGTATTCCAGAAGGATGGCAATACCTTACCATTTACAGGTGAAGAGAAATTGGAGGACCATCCAGCAGCTAAACACTTTCAAGATGTCTGCATCAAGGTAGTGAATTAAGTTTTTGTCTACAGGCGCATAGCAATTGTATCAGCGTAAAAAAGTTTTACGAAGACTATGGTTTTCCTTGCGAATAATTTAGGCTACTACTCCAGTTTGACCTATAGACTGACCTCAAGTCTGAAAGACTTTGCTCTGTCTTATAATGTGTCCGCAGTGCCCACTGTAATTCTATTACCCACTGTAAATCCTTCCTTGCCATGTTATTTCAGCTCAAGTTCTCAATTTCATCCGGAACGGGCGTGCCATTCAATACGATTGCATGTGGATTTTCTTACTTAACTGGTCAAGCTGAGAGCAATCACGTCATTGTCACCATGGAGAACATAGGATCTGCTGATGTAAACAAGTTTGTACGTGAATTGCTCTTGAAACTCAAAACGCGAACTAATTCAGACAAATCGGACTCAATTCTGGGGCGGAACTACGGTAAGTTGGCCCCTATATCTGATGCTATAATTTGATATTCTTGTGTAGACTGTCAAATTCTAACAGTCTTTGTAACGAATCTATTTTGCAATAAGTATTGATTTGATCTAACAATATTCCATGTATTCTACAGCTATCAGTTAATTATTAGAGTAGATTGAATCTGGGATTATCACAATGTACATGGGCCCAATAAGAAGTCAAACGTCCTTGAGCCCTTTGTATTAGTGTTCCTTTGGCAAGCTAACTGAAGTCTCTATTATTCCGCAGTGGCTCTCATCAATGATACGTATGCAAGTAAGTTGTTCTATCATGACCAGATTCATAGCCATCAATGACTACTAGATTACACAGGGTAGGGAACAGCAATGCATTGCTGCCCATTTAATCTCGGTTATGGACAGAGTGGGTACCACTGCAGTCGCAACCTGAGAGACATTAGTCGGTGGGACATGACGCAACAGTCGTAAGCAGCACATCTCTCACCATAGTGAGCAGTTAAAGGCAGCTGGCTACTCTTGCGATTATGCGCCAGGTAATCGCCTTTATTAATAGTGTGAATTTCCCATTGGTGCTAAAACATCTTCGCCAAAGTAGCGAAGGGTCTCACAAAGATCGTAAACATGGTGCATCATCATGAATGAAAAGCACAGGCGCATACACACACATACACACTAACTAACCAATGCCAAAAGTGCGCTTTCTTCGCACCATAAAGACAACCTCCGCCGTTTTAGTGACACTTACTTGTATTTTCCATAATTCTTATATTGTTACTCTAATTCAGCCATCCGAATTGGCATGGAATTTGTCGGAGATGATTTAACGGGCGAATGGCGCGGTACATATGGAAGTGCAACTGAGGTTATGCATATTGCTGAGACGATGTGCGCGAAAGTAAGCAACAGTTTGGAATGCATTCGTAAACGCATTTCACTATTATATCAGGGGGATGACTCATTATGATTGGAAGACGGCGGTACCCAAATAAATTACTCGAACCACCAAAATTAGTTATAAGGCAAAGTTAACGCGCAAATCAGAAAGGCTCATCATTTTACACACGTGAGGCGCAAGGCAGCTCAAGTCGCAATATTTTTGCTAATTTTCTATTGTCTATTGATTTGGCGTCATCTCTACTGCTTGACCGAAAATATATGGCAAGCATCGGCTGGTTTCGGGAACTTGCCCTGCTAAAATACATCAGCTCGCGAACACGCACAGGTTAATGTTTGAAGTCTTATGGGTCCCGTGGGCCATATGCGTACCCACTCGGTTAAATTAAAAGCTATGGTGTTTCTTATTAATTCGTTGACAGGATACGGTTGGCGGAAGGTTGATCGTTGTGGTGACGTTCAGTGAACGAACGCGGTATATAAGGCTTCGTATGTCCTTCATTTTATTACAAGTGAAACTCATGTTGTTTAGCCCACGAGTATACTCATCCGAGAGCAAGGTCGATTTATAGAACAATGATCAATACAACGTGGTAAACGTGATAATTCATCAATTTCCACCTCAGAAACCACAGGCTATTAAACATAGTAGATTCTCTTGTACTAAACGTGTATTGCTAAGAAAATAATTTACTTTCGTCAATGGCCATCTTGTATCAACTAGTATGAGCGAATGGAAAAGGCAGAGGAAACATCAGGCGACAAGAACTTCACCTGCGTTGTGAAAGGTCCACATTGGGCACATTTGGAAGGAGAATTTTTGTTGCACTTCGAGTCGGATGAAGCGGACAACATCACCGTAACAAAAAAGGATTTGGAAAAGCGAAACAACACAAGAGTTGGTTACGACATTACTGACTTGCAAATTAAACTCCTATGTGCTACACGCTAATGTCAATAATAAAGTCATATTTGGAAATCATTGTCCTTGTGCTAATGCAAGGTGAACGAAAACTGTTTAATAGTAAAAAATCTTCTGCAGCCGTGTAGGCCTATATTATGAAGTTTATGTCACGTTAACAGTTATTTTCTTACGGAGCCAAGCTAAAGTATTATTTAAATATTAACGCATTTGATCGAGGATTAATATATGAAATAATCAAACGGTAGTATAGCACGGTTAACAAGCAAATGCTTAACGAGTCCCGTAGGATAGCTGGAATAAGAACCGTAAGAAAACAAACTGATAAGATGGAAATCCTTTTGAAAGACTCACCATAGTTTTCACATAGTGGCATCCAGTTAAGTGCAAATTCGATTATGTGGATATGTGCTGGTTGTGAAGCGTTCGTCACATTATATCATCGTGATATGCACATGGTATATCTCGGAATGTAGATGAATTAGGGCAACCTCAAGTCTTTGTGTTAACACAGCTAACTTACAAGCGAAAACAAGGTAAATTTTGGAAGCGTTCCATGGATGGTACACACGCAGGGAGTACAACTTTGACCGATCTTCTAGCCAATTGCGTTGCATTGTCAACTTGAACTGGTGGTTCCTGTTAAGGTTTCGGCGTACCTACCGATGACCTGCTGCTAGCGTGCACTCTGATTAGCCCGACTTCCCAAAGCAGGAGACCGGCGTACGGCTGGCAAGTATACATGTTAAACGTCCAACTAACGGTACATTCAGTTTATGGCCAAATCAATAGCCCTCAGCGTAAAACGCTCTCATTGGCTGGTTCCGTCCCATTAACACCTTCCCCCGCAAAAGTTGACATAAGACTTCATTTTTGGATCCAACTGCATTCTTACGACAGGTCTCCGTAGTCGATCAGTACAGCGCCGGGTCTGGACCTTCGGTTCCTCTGAGACTTCTGTGCGGGATGCATCCGAATTGCTTTGGGGATTAGATGGCATGTCGAAACTCTTTAGTAGAATATCTAACGGTAGTAACCAAGCGCTTGTGCCCGCAGGGATGCTAGTTGGTCGCAGCTGATTGGAATGCCTGGTCCAAATCAAATTACCCACATTAACCTCATATAGCACCTGTCCAATATTTCTCCGTATCGATCCTACCACCCATTGCGGGTTTCCCGCGCGATAGTCTCTTACTAAGACACGCTGTCCGGGGTAAAAGCGGCGTGCTTGAGTTCTGTGTCGCTCGTTGTAGTACTGCTCCATCCGAACGTTCCTTTCTCGCTCATTAGTACACCTCGGAGTTAGCAGGGAATTCACAGTACGGAGCTTTCTTCCCGCTAGTGCTTCTGCTGGTGACAAATGATTTGGTACTTAAGGATTTGAAGTTGATCTGTACACGAGCAAAAATGTAGCAAGTATCTCCTGTGTGGTTCCTTCCCCCCGCATCTTTAGTAGCGACCGCTTAAACGTGTCGACGAAGCGCTCTGCTTGTCCATTTGACTGAGGGTGAAACGGTGGCGACCGTAGATGCGTGATACCATGCTGTGCGCAGTATTCGGCAAATTGGGAAGAAGTGAACTGAGAACCATTGTCAGTGACCAAGGTTTCTGGTATTCCGTGTTGACTGAAAAGTCTCCTCAAAATGTTAATTGTTGCACCACTTGTCGCACGCTCCATACAGAAGACCTCAGGCCATTTGCTATAGGAATCAACAACTATTAGGTACAGCTGACCGTTTAGGGGACCAAAGAAATCAGAGTGCACGCGTTCCCACGGTTTTGTTGCCAACGGCCAGGAAGCTAAGTCAGCTTTTCTCGGTGCCTTACTAGCAAGCGCGCATCTGGGACATGACTTTACTAGTTGCTCGAGTTCCGAATCAATGTTTGGCCAGTAGACAAAACTCCGAGCAATGCTTTTCATTCTGTTAATTCCAGGATGTGCCCGATGAAATTGCTGAAGGACTCTTTGGCGAAGTTCTTTGGGTATGACAATTCTCTCGGCCAAAAGTAAACACCCATTTACGATCGAAAGTTCGTCCTTTTCTCCGAGAGAGAATTTGTAGCTCTCCGGATAGAGTATCACTTGGCCACTGCGTAGTGTGAAATTTGATTACCTGGCGCAAGAGGGGATCTCGCACAGTTGCGTCACGTACCATGTCGAACGTCACGGGAAGCTTCCTAAAATTCTCCATCAAGACCTGGTTGACCTCTGATTCAAGGGAGATTGCTGCAATTATAGATTCTTCCTGCTGATGTTGTTGTAGCTCCAATAACCGAGAAAGTGCGTCTGCTTGACCTATGTCCTTTGTAGCCGTGTACTTCACCGCAAAATCATAGGCGAGTAAGGCCGTGGCCCAACGCTGCAGTCTGTTCGCGGTATAAACGGGTATACCGGACTTTGATCCAAATATGGCTAGGAGTGGTTTATGGTCGGTAAGCAGAGTAAACCTCCTGTCATACAACATTTTGTGAAATTTCTTTATTGCAAAGACTATCGCTAATGCCTCTTTCTCTATCTGCCCGTAATTCTTTTCGGCTGGCGACAGTGATCGAGCTGCGTGTGCGATCGCTTTTTCCGATCCGTCAGCAAACTTATGAGAGATAACTGCACCCACGCCATACTTCGAAGCGTCTGCCGCCACCACGATTTCAAGTGTAGGGTCGTAATGTGTCAGCATAAGGTCAGAACACAGCATTCGCTTCACCTCCTCAAAGGACTTCTGACAATCTTCGGACCAGTGCCAACGTTTGTCCTTGTGTGTAACTCATTGAGTGGTCCACGCACGCTGTGTATATGTAGCAGAAATTGACTGTAATGACTGACGAGTCCTAAGAAGGACCTCAGAGTAGGCACATCTTTGGGAGGTGGCATCTTTTTATAGCACCAATGTTTGACGGATCTGGACGTCTACCGTTCTTGTCAATTATGAAGCCAAGAAAATTAATGGAGTCCATGAAAAACGTGCACTTTTCTGGGCGAAGTCTAAATCCGTTCTCTTGTATGCGATCAAGTACTAAGTGCAGCTTTCTGAAAAGGTCATCTGGGTTAGTTCCGACGACAATGATATCGTCCAAATATGCGGCAGCACCATCTACATCTGTTAGCATAGTATCCATGATTTGCTGAAAAATTGCTGGCGCGGACTTAACTCCGAATGGAAGTCGATGATACTGATACAAACCTCGGTGCGTATTTATCGTCAGTAATTCTCTAGAAAATTCATCAACTTCTATTTGTAAGTACGCATCCGATAGATCTAGCTTGGCAAAACACTGACCCCCATTTAGTTTCGAG